GGGACGAGAGCGAGAGTCCTCTCCTTCCGGTGCGGAAAAGCACCGGACACCACCGAGAGGCCACTGTCCACACGCGACTGGGTGCCTAAGCTCGTCGGAATGAAATCCATGATGGATAAAAGCGACGATGAAAGTCCACGGTTGGAAATCAACGATGAAATATCCACGGGAAAATCCACGGGGGACCGTGGGAGGCGACGTAATCGGCATCGTGGATGCCTTGCGAAGACCAGGGGACGATTTCGCTTTCTCGAGCGTCGATAAAGATACCCTCGGGGCGTCTCGACTCGTTGCTTCTCTTCGCGCGACAGTCCAGAAAGAGCACAGAGGACACAGTCAGAGAGAGAGAGAGAAAGACAGACAGACGCAGAGAGAAAGAGTGAGAAAGAGTGAGAGAGAGAGAGAGAGAGAGAGAGAGAGAGAGAGAGGCAAAGAAAGATAGATAGACAGATAGAGAAAACGGAAACTTCGTGTTCCGTCCGAGCATTAAGCTCGTTTCCGCGGCGCGACATTTTTTCCGGCGGTCGTTTCCGCCGGTTTGTTGTTTGCTCCCTCTTTCTCTCCGGTCCGCGGCACACAGAGGAGGATCCTCTCGATCGTGGAGAAGAATGCTCCGCGAGAATTCCCGGCTCGTCTCATTCGTCGTCGTTCGCGGGTAAAACCTTTTCGCTCGGTCGACGTACAGGGGGGGAGAGGGGGGACGACGGACGCGTTTCGTCGCGACGCGCGATGCGAGGCAAAGAAAAAAGATAAAAGAAAACGGTAGAGAGACGGTAAACACAGTGCGGAGGGGGGTGTGGGGTCGGGGTGGAGAAAGTGTCGCCGACAGGCTGGTAGAAGCGAAGGGACACAGAGCGCAAGAAACACAACTGTACAGAGAACGTGGAACAACGACTATTTACAGTGTCCGAGATCATCGGAGGATCGTTCCGGTCGTCCAAGCTCTCCCTTTCTATCCCGGCAAGCTGATCGATGCGTGCTTTCGCCCGGCTAACCCTTCGGTACCGTCGCGATCCGACGCCGGGCATGGCCACGGATTTCCCTCTGGGACTGGCTGCGGTACGGGCTACCGAATCGAGGATACTTCGAGAATCTCGCGAGCGAGATCTACGGCGAGACAGAACCGTGGTCCTCGAACAGGGCTACGAGGATACCTCGAGGCAACGCTGACTTTTCGCGGAAAAAAGGTGCCACGGAACGGCGAAGTTCTTCCGTACGAAATACGCGGACAGATCACAGGGTTTCCCGAAATTATTGTACAGATTCCTGAGGTCGTTCGAAGCAACTTTCTCCTTTACGAAAATGTTCTCCGAGGCGTCGTTTACGAGTTATCGAGGAAAAACGGCGGCCAATGAGAGTCGAGATCGGCTGGCGCGAGGCGGTCGAGCCAACGAGCGCGCGAAGCCCAGCTCCGCCCGGTTCCGCCCGGTTCACTCGGCCCGCCTCGCGCCAGCCGAGCTCGCCACTCATTGGCACCCGTTTTTCGTTAATAACTCGTAAACGGAGCCGCGGATCGCATTTTCGCAAAGGAAAAAGTTGCTTCAAATGATCTCAGGAATCTTTCATTTCTCGTTTGTACAGTAATTTTGAGATACCGTGTACAACGGTTAGTCCAATGAGATGAGTCTGTTAGTAGGAAGAATTGCGCGATGATCATTAAACCGCGGTTTTTTATGGATCCGTGATAAATATCGACGGGTAAAACAGGAAACAGCGAAAACGTTGGAAGAATCGACGATCACTATATTGCGTTACTCTCAACATATCAACCCTTTGCACTCGAAGTCATTTAAACTCGAAATCCGAAACAGCTTTCTCTGTTTTCTACGGTGCATTTCCATTTTATTAGATCGAATTTATTAAATATTTCCATTCGAAATCGAATCCTGCGACTCGTGCAACAGTCTCTTAAATGTAGACGAACTCTGCAAGGATGATTTTGGTGCCTGATGTACAATTTTTAGCGACGCCTCGGTGTTACCAGAGCGGAAAGGGTTACGATCGTTATATCAGAAGAGAATCGATTTTTGGTGAACTTCTGTTCCTTCCAAGCATTTGCACTCGGACAACTTTCCCGGGTCAGCTGCCAACACGCTGGAACGTATTTATTCGTGAAGTAGTAACGAACGCTGCAAATAAAACATAAAATGATATAACCTCGGAAATCGTTGCTCCGTTTATATAGAATTTCGGCACGGGATATTGACGAACGATACAGATCATACAAAGCAAGAGATTCGCAATTGACGAAATTGCCACGATTATCAGCAGTCCTGTTAGTCTTGTTATATTGCGAGCACGATATTTCATGAGAGCGAACGTCTCTGGTATGTCTACGCTTACACTCTCGGATTTTCATGTAGCGAAAAAATCGAATTTAGATCTAAGATGAACGCGCAAGATTCGAGTTTCGTAGATCACTCGTGAAATTCTCTGACTCGTAAAAAAGGATCGAACGGATCCAAAGAACGCAACGGAGTTGAAACGTTTAACCGCAGACAGTCGATTAAAAAAAAAGGTTATAACGATAAAAAAGAAATTTCTGAGGATGCAACGGTCTAACAATGAATTCACGATTACGAAGGATCCGTGAGTCGACAAAGTTCGAGGACCACAAACCCGCAAACCCCGCAGAGCCGCCCTGAAGTCGCCACGACGGACGCGGCTGTGCTCTTCAGGGGCCACTGAACGGTCCCAGGAGCGAAAACATGGTCCATGCCCGCTCTCCATTCGAAATGCAATCGATCGCGAGACGTGCCCGGATTCTAGAGACTCGATGATCGCGATCTAGACCGCGATCGGATCGACGAGAGTGACTCCTCAAGCTTCGCCAAGCCGGAGAACGCGGGTCGCGCGCGTGCGGCAACACCGACACACACACGTACACACACGCATACGCACACACAAACACGCGCGCGCGTGTATACACCAACGAAAAAGTGCGTCTGTGCACGGGCAGCCGCGGAACACAAACAAGTCCGAACAACGAGTGCGAGGGGAAACGTCTCGCGCGCGCACGCATGAGAAACCAGGAACAATTGTGTGCGTGATCTTTTTTTCATTCGATCGATATCGATGAATATTCTCAAATCGATCGTTTCCATCGAACAGACAGAAAGAGCGACGGGAACAGAGACGGTCCGGAGCAAGCATGGGCCTAGACTGCCGCGCGGGCCACTAGGCCACGCCCACTCGGAGCAATTCCCGCATAGCCGTTTCTTTCTCCACTCCGTCGTCGTTTCACGGCGGTGATTGCGCCGAATGGGCGGGGGCTCGTCGACAGTTTTCGGAGCGAGGACAGTGGCCCGGAGCGGATGAACTTTTGTTTCCTGCCTCGGCATCGTTTATGCATATCGAGGGAAAGAGAAAGCCGCCGACCGGCGCCCCTGGGGCCAATCTGGAGCCCGTGCCTGCGCGAGACCGCGAAAGGGAAAACGGCGAGAGAGAGAGAGAGAGAGAGAGAGAGAGAGAAAACGAACGGGGCGCGGAAAATGAAACCTTGAGGAACGCGTCGCCGCCGGTCCAAAGCGGGCAGCTGTGTTTTCACGATTCGGTTTCCCTCCCGCGGCCCTCCGCCTTTGTTCCTTCGTCGGCGTACGCGCGCACACACAGATTATAATATTCGCGGTAATTACGAACAGAGCGACAAGAGCGACGTGCGAGCAGCGATCGGTTTCCGATCGGAAAGGGGGGCGTGGCGAGTGTGCCCCGGTGACGAGACGACGCGAGGTGTTGACGAACAGCGAAGGAAGAACACGGAGAAGCGTCGCGGGGTCCTTTCGATCGGTCCCTCGACGATCGGCGAGAGAAAAGAAACCATGTTCTTCGCTCGTCGAGGACCGCGCGCCGTCGAAAACGCGCCGGAGAGAATGTACAAGCATTTTCGAGAGCGCGCTCCCGCGGAGCCAAGCCAAGAAATCTATTTACACAGACAGAGAGAGAGGAGGAGCGGGAAGAAGAAGAACGAGTAGATGTGGTAGAAGAAGTACAGCGGTAGAAGAAGTAGTAATAGTAGTAGTGGTAGCAGTAGCAGTAATAGTAGTAGTAGCAGTAGTAGTAATAGTAGTAGTAGCAGTAGCAGTAGCAGTACCAGTAGCAGTACCAGTAGCAGTACCAGTAGCAGTAGTAGTAGTAGTAGTAGTAATAGTAGTAGTAGTAATAGTAGTAGTAGTAATAGTAGTAGTAGTAGTAGTAACAGTAATAATACTAATACTAGTAGTAATACTAACAGTAGTAGTAATACTAGCAGTAGTATTAATTCTGACAGTAGTAGTAATACTGACAGTAGTAGTAATGCTAGCAGTAGTATTAATACTGATAGTAATAGTAATACTAGCAGTAGTAATAATACTGACAGTAGTAGTTTTACTAGCAGTAGTATTAATACTGACAGTAGTAGCAATACTAGCAATAGTATTAATACTGACAGTAGTAGTAATACTAGCAGTAGTATTAATACTGACAGTAGTAGTAATACTACCAGTAGTAGTAGTAGTAGTAGCAGTAGTGGTAGTAGTAGTAGTACTAGTAGTAGTAGTACTTGTAGTAGTAGTAGTACTTGTAGTAGTAGTAGTAGTATTAGTAATACTAGCAGTAGTAGTAGCAGTAATAGTAGTATTAGTAGTAGCGGTAATAGTAGTATTAGTATTAGTAATAGCAGTAGTAATAGTAGTAACAGTAGCAGTAGTAGTAGTAATAGTAATAGTAGTAGTAGTAAACAGCAAAGAAGAAGTATACAAGAACACGATTAGAAGAGTACGAAGAGAGCTTTTTTTTTAGAAGGTACAAGACGAAGAACAAAGCAACACCATGTACAAACGGTGGGCCAAAGAAACAAAATGTACACGATTGATCGTTATACGTGCGACAGTGTTCCGTGTTCCACAAATTGGATTCATTTCCTTTCGTGTGTGTCTGTGTGCGTGTGACTGGTTGCGTGTTCTCGTTTTCTTTCATTGATTATTATAGTCTCGGTTTTCTTTGGTTCTTAATTATGATACCTTGGCACCTCATGCCCTGGTGGATGACACCATAGAGAAGACTACCGCAGTGGTCACAGAACGTGGGGCTGTTGTAGGTATGTTGCTTGAATTGGTGCTTCGTCCGCGTGTCCTGCGTTATTACACCATTACACCGTGCACACACACGCAGACTCTCGGGGGTTCGTGGCTTTTTGGATGGGCATGGTCGATCGGACGGGTCCGGATCGGGATCCAGGGGGAGCGGGGGATTATTTTTGGACGGGAGGTTCGATCCGACTCGAACGATTTCACCGAAGAAGATGCTGCTCGGACAATTGTCGCGGATTCGGGGCTTCGCTATAAACATTTATTGTTATTATTATTATTATTATTAGTGTTATTATTTATTATATACAGCTGATGATAAAATTCACTGGTCTTAGGAGAGTTCCCGAGTTTATGGGCAAACCTCCGATGAGCAACAGAGAGCAGTGTTTTTGAACGAGAAGTGCAGGCTTTTCAATCAAAATTAACCCTTCCGCCGGTGTCAATCACTCTTTTGCAAATCAAATTACCTTTTTACAATGTTTAGAGTTAATATATAAACGTATATATACTTGTCTCTGAAATGATACAAATTTTGTTATAGGTGATTAACCTTCGATTATCTTCAATAATCATTTCTAACAATTTATATTTTAAATTCGACGCGATTTTTGTCACAGACAATCGCAAACAAGCGAATCTCGACTGCGACAGAGCGAAGTTCATTTCCAAAAGAGTGACTAAGAAAACTTCGTCGAATTCCGCGGCGAAATTCGTAGCGCGCACGGAACTAATTTCGATCGGAACAAGGTGAATACGATCGAAAGGATGAATCTCTCGAGAGTACAGAAATATACGAACACGATCTAAAAAAGAAAAAAGGGGATCGATTTTGACCGAAGAGCCTGCGTATATTTCGTACCGCGTAACTCTTCGCACTTTCGACTTGCATCGTCGAGTCGGTGCTCGACTCGTCGCTCATCATTTCGGCAGAATATAACGGATGAGAGGATCGAATACAGTCGAATCGCGACAACCATCCGAGCGTTACCGTAACTCCAAGTCGTGGATATTACGGGCCGCGAACAACTATTACAGCCGCTTCGGAACAGCTCGCCCGTCAAAGTCGGGAAGCGCGAACTCGATTATGTGCTTCGCGCAGGGACACGACCGCCTCGTTACAGGTAATTCCGTTCGTTCGACGATCGACGGCCGGCGTTTTTAGCGCGGCTGTTTTCGCGACATTTATCGGCGCCGTGTTACACGGCAGATTCAATTGCGACCGCGGCCGTTCGCCGATCGCGCCCCGTTCAATTAGAGCTTCGCCGTGCGAACACTGGACGGACAATTTCGCGAGAACCGAGGCGACGTGAAATAATCGTCGAGGGATCGAATCGGCAAGGGTTCGTAGCTGTCGAGAGACAAAGGGAGAGAGAGAGAGATAGAGAGTGAGAGAGAGAGAGATATATAGAGAGAGAAACAGAGAGTACGAGAGAGTCATCTTCGAAGCACAGAAGCACGAGGGGATCAGCATCGAGGGGCCGAGGAAGACGCTAGGACATTGATCGTTGTTTAGTCAGAATCCCCGAAAGTAAAATGAAAAAACCGATGTTTCGCCGTTCGCGCGTTCGGCGACGACGAACGTTCGCGACTCGTCGGGACGGCCGACGGCGGAAAATCGTCTCGCCGGGCGTCGTCGGGAGTCGGGAACGTTCCTCCGGCCGTTTCTCGAGCGGTTTCCGTCGAGACGAGCCGGACGAACCGGCTCGGTGTCGTCCGCGCGAAATAATTATTCCGTGTCACAAGCGTGGTTAAACGAAGCGCAGAAAACGCTTAGGCCAATCGTGCGCGGTGCGAGAAAACGTGGAAAAATATATAGCTCTCAGCAACCGGGCTTGCCCTTCCCCGTTCGTGCCCAGCCGAGGATCACCGCGATTCTCTTCGGCGCGTCTCCGCAACGTCCGTCGACGACGGGCTCGATAATTAATTCATTAATTAATGATCCTCGTCCAAGACCTGCCGGGGAAAGGGCGCGCGCGCGCGCGCGTCTCAACTGCGCCGAGAAACGAGTAAATAGAACCGAAAACAAAACAATAGTTCGCGGAGTTCGACGTGGGTGCGCGATACTACGGTGACACTTACGTCCGAGTCAGCTCCCTTGTCCGCCCCGGGACACGTGAACGTCACGTATTCGTGGCATCGCTTGTGCACCACGAAGCTGCAGACTGAAACACAAGCATCGATCTGAAGACATACCTCGTCCGGATAGCTTTCCCAAAAGCACAACGGTCGGATCTCGAGCTTACCTTGGCACTGGTACCCTTGCTTGCCGAAACCCCTGAAACAAACGATAGGCGATTAACATAGCGTCTTTTGAATTATCTTCGTTTCACGTAACGGGAGATATCGTAATCTCCGAGCCAGGTCGTCCAAATCAAATTCTGATCTCTATTGTCGTCGAAACGTTGTCTTTTCTCATCTTGGAAATGATTACGATCGAGAAACTTCTGATTACAGTAATGTCTCCCTAACTGACGCTCAGATTTTTGTACGTTTGATATCGATGATTTATGATGTGCAGGTAATAGCAATCGCAGTTTTATCAAATCAAATTCTGATCTCTATTGTCGTCGAAACATTGTCTTTTCTCATCTTAGAAATGATTACGATCGAGAAACTTCTGATTACAGTAATGTCTCCCTAACTGACGCTCAGATTTTTGTACGTTTGATATCGATGATTTATGATGTGCAGGTAATAGCAATCGCAGTTTTATCAAATCAAATTCTGATCTCTATTGTCGTCGAAACATTGTCTTTTCTCATCTTAGAAATGATTACGATCGAGAAACTTCTGATTACAGTAATGTCTCCCTAACTGACGCTCAGATTTTTGTACGTTTGATATCGATGATTTATGATGTGCAGGTAATAGCAATCGCAGTTTTATCAAATCAAATTCTGATCTCTATTGTCGTCGAAACATTGTCTTTTCTCATCTTAGAAATGATTACGATCGAGAAACTTCTGATTACAGTAATGTCTCCCTAACTGACGCTCAGATTTTTATACGTTCGATATCGATGATTTATGATGTGCAGGTAATAGCAATCGCAGTTTTATCAAAGCAAATTCTGATCTCTGTTGTCGTCGAAACATTGTCTTTTCTCATCTTAGAAATGACTACGATCGAGAAACTTCTAATTACAGTGATGTCTCCCTAACTGACGCTCAGATTTTTATATGTTTGATATCGATGATTTATGATGTGCAGGTAATAGCAATCGCAGTTTTATCAAATCAAATTCTGATCTCTGTTGTCGTCGAAACATTGTCTTTTCTCATCTTAGAAATGATTACGATCGAGAAACTTCTAATTACAGTGATGTCTCCCTAACTGACGCTCAGATTTTTATATGTTTGATATCGATGATTTATGATGTGCAGGTAATAGCAATCGCAGTTTTATCAAATCAAATTCTGATCTCTGTTGTCGTCGAAACATTGTCTTTTCTCATCTTGGAAATGATTACGATCGAGAAACTTCTGATTACAGTAATGTCTCCCTAACTGACGCTCAGATTTTTGTACGTTCGATATCGATGATTTATGATGTGCAGGTAATAGCAATCGCAGTTTTATCAAATCAAATTCTGATCTCTGTTGTCGTCGAAACATTGTCTTTTCTCATCTTGGAAATGATTACGATCGAGAAACTTCTGATTACAGTAATGTCTCCCTAACTGACGCTCAGATTTTTGTACGTTCGATATCGATGATTTATGATGTGCAGGTAATAGCAATCGCAGTTTTATCAAATCAAATTCTGATCTCTGTTGTCGTCGAAACATTGTCTTTTCTCATCTTGGAAATGATTACGATCGAGAAACTTCTGATTACAGTAATGTCTCCCTAACTGACGCTCAGATTTTTGTACGTTCGATATCGATGATTTATGATGTGCAGGTAATAGCAATCGCAGTTTTATCAAATCAAATTCTGATCTCTGTTGTCGTCGAAACATTGTCTTTTCTCATCTTGGAAATGATTACGATCGAGAAACTTCTGATTACAGTAATGTCTCCCTAACTGACGCTCAGATTTTTATACGTTCGATATCGATGATTTATGATGTGCAGGTAATAGCAATCGCAGTTTTATCAAAGCAAATTCTGATCTCTGTTGTCGTCGAAACATTGTCTTTTCTCATCTTAGAAATGACTACGATCGAGAAACTTCTAATTACAGTGATGTCTCCCTAACTGACGCTCAGATTTTTATATGTTTGATATCGATGATTTATGATGTGCAGGTAATAGCAATCGCAGTTTTATCAAATCAAATTCTGATCTCTGTTGTCGTCGAAACATTGTCTTTTCTCATCTTGGAAATGATTACGATCGAGAAACTTCTGATTACAGTAATGTCTCCCTAACTGACGCTCAGATTTTCATACGTTCGATATCGATGATTTATGATGTGCAGGTAATAGCAATCGCAGTTCTATAATTCACTTATTGTCAATTTATTGGCGTAAGAGGTCTCATACGGCAGATTCAGCTTATTTTCGCTGCACAGTAATGTCTCCCTTACTGACGCTTAGATTGTCCACTAAAATTTGGGAAAAGGAGATACGATTATTCGAGCCTCGCGGCTCGTTCTTATAATTGTTGAAAATCGGTAACTATAAAAACGAGTCGCAAGGCTCGAATAATCGTACCTCCTCTTCCCAAATTGTCCATTTCTGTGGACAATCTGAGCGTCAATTAGAGAGACATTACGTAATTACGAAGAAAATACTACGGCAAGGGGTTAAGGGTTTAACCGTGTCCTCGGAGACCACGAAGCTCGCGGGTCGCCGAATTTAACCTCGAAACCGTGTTCGCGGCAGCGAGTGGACGAGTCCGCTTCGCGAAGCGCAGAAACTGGCGTTCCACGGTTTGCAACAGTGACACCGAGTTCGGTTGCAGACCAAAATGGAACCGGGTGGCCGGCAAACCGTCGAAAGTTTTGCGAGCGGTTGGCCTAGCCGACGGCTAGCTGAATCGTGAACTGCATTTTCAACGTCCAGGCTGCTCGCGGTTTATAATCGGCGACGACGTTTCTACGCTGGACCCTCGATTAAGTCGGCTTCGACGAGCAGATCGATATTTCAAGGTTCCGCCGACCAGCAACGTAACGTTTTGCCCTCCGAACACGAAAATACGATCGCGTAACTCTTTCCCCCTTTGCTAGGGAAGCTTTCGTTCTGCGCGGAATAGCCTTCGGTATCCTTCGCTGTGGTTTCTTTTTTCGTCGATCGGTCATTGTCGCGCTAATTGCCGAAAGCTGAGGCCGCGTACGTCGTCGACGAGTGCTTTCAACGACTAAGATTTCGAGAACGGACGGTCAAATGTGAAGGGTTCACCGGTAGGATCGTTTTCCCTTCGCGAGAACAGCTTTCGTTCTGCGAGAAATACAGGGTACCCCATAATTATGCTAACAGTGAGAAATAGGCGATTCCTGAGGTTATTTGAAGCAACTTTTTCCTCGGCGAAAATTCAATCCGCGGCTCCGTTTACGAATTATTAACGAAAAACGGTGGCCAATGAGGTCGAGCTCGGCTGGCGCGAGGCGGGCCGAGTCGATGGGCGGAGCTGGGCTTCGCGCGCTCGTTGGCTCGGCCGCCTCGCGCCAGCTCAGCTAGCCTCTAATTGGTCACCGTTTTTCGTTAATAACTCGTAAACGACGCCTCGTAGACAATTTTTGTAAAGGAAAAAGTTGCTTCAAATGACCCGAGGAATCATCCCTTGCCGGGTGTTAACATAATCATGGGACTTCCTGTACACGTCGCGGGACGCCTTCGCGACGGTCGCCGTAGTTTCCATTCGGGCCGACTTTCCGCGAGTCGAGCGATCATAATCGCGCTAATTACTGAAAGCGGGGGCCACGTACGTAGCCCGTCGAGTGCTCCGAACGAGCAAGATCTTCCGAGAAAACCGGCCAGAAGCCGGGTGTTCAGCCGCAACGACAATGACAATCAACGAAACGCGGCGAACCCGGGGGGGATGGGGACGAAGTCAGGGAAACGCCGACGAGACGCGAAGAAACGGCCAATGAAATGCAAGCTGGATAGACGCGGGACACCGGGGACGGGGGATGAAAATCGCCGCCGCAAATCCGCGATTAGCCTACATTCCTCCGAAGCTCCCGTCGAAACGTGCTCGGTTACGTCGCCGTTCAGGTTGCCGCGTACCTGTGTACCGCGCGAAAATAAAATCATTTAAGCCATTTTCCGAGCGGGCTTTCGCGCGAGGACGCGCGATCCCGCCTGGCTTGTTCGCGGGACAAAAGGGGCGCGAAGAGGTCCTTGGACAAAGTTTCGTGGACAGGTTCGTTTCGAGAATGGACCCGGATTCGGTCTTAGATACCGGTGGAGAGGCCACGGTTGCAGGGAACGGGATTAGACAGTGAGGAAAATTATCTAGGATGTTGTGGAAATTAGGCCAGTCGTGCACCGTGAATGTTGCACCTCGTCCGCGGTGCCCAGAATTTGGGGAAATGAGAGAAGGGTTCGTGGATTACGAAGAGATTCGAATCTTTGCGTGAATTAGCCACGCGCATTGATCTTAAAGTAAATATTAAGAATTTGGATAATTTTAGGGCAACCGTGATCGAGTACATTCGAATCTTTACGCGTCAATTTTCTTTTCTTTTTCTAGTTGCTGTTTGAACGTGAAGATTAATCGTTTTATTCAACCCTTTCGCTGCAACATCGAGTCAGAGTTAAATTATTTCTGATGGAAATTTCGAACATAATCTACTAAATATGCGAATATATTACTCATTACTAGATCAAGAATATTATTCGATATTAGAGCAGATTGAATATAAAATATTGGAAATGTTTAAAGAATTTAGAAACACTGTTGCATTATTTTGAACTCAATAAAATAATACAAGAGTTAAAGAAATGTTTATATATAGCTTCTGTATCTTGCAATTGATGCAGGCGAATTTTATTTCGCGTAAAAATATATTACTCGTTGCTAGATCAAGAATATTATTCAATATTAGAGCAGATTGAATATAAAATATTGGAAATGTTTAAAGAATTTAGAAACACTGTTGCATTATTTTGATCTCAATAAAATAATACAAGAGTTAAAGAAATGTTTATATATATAGCTTCTGTATCTTGCAATTAAGGCAAGCGATTTTTATTTCGCGTAAAAATCCACAGTTTGATTCTTCTGTTACCAAAATCTAGGAACGAAAATGTACAGAGACACGCGAAACAAAAATTGTCTCCTCCCACTAGGAAAATGATTAACCCCTTGACATACAATTTTCTTCTCAG